AACAAGTTGACAAAATAACAAGAAACTGATTGCAAATGGAAAAGAAATATATGCGATATGAATTAACTAAATAATTGCATTGAATAATAAACGACAAATAATAAAGAGGAAAAAAAAAGAAATTGAAAAGGGAAGGAAGCAATACTAAAAACGGAACTGAGATTGGCTTTAAATGAATGAGAAGGAAATTGAATTTGCGAGAGAAGGAAGAGAACGGAAGAAAAAAAAATGAAATTTGCGGCTTCGTTTTTAGAGAGGGAGCCTGGCCATATACAGAAATAATCATCTTTTATATATATTCTATCTCTGTTAATCAAGGATGATGTTGTTGTTGTTGTTATTATTATTATTATTATTATTATTATTATTATTATTATTATCATATCATAGTTATTTATTTCATATTTATCATTTCGATTTCATATTGTCATGAAACGATGTGCCCCACCCACAAAAAATAAAATAAAATAATGCCATTCGCTCTCCCTGACTCACTCTCTTCCTCTTTCTCTCTCCCCTCTCTCTCTCTCTCACTCTCTCTCTCTCTCTCTATATATATATATATATATATATATATATGTGTGTGTGTGTGTGTGTGTGTACGCGCGTACATTGCACGTAGATTTTATTTCTCCTTTCAATCAAACTTCAATCTATTTATTTGATGTTGTTTTCATAACATCATTATTTTGTGCTGATATATTTTTTTTAAACTTTTTTTTTCAATTTTAATTTTTATGTGTATTACGTGTGTGTGCGTGCGTTCAAGTTTGGGAGAGAAGCGGAGATAAAGGAGGGTGCGCTTGGTTCGTTCTGACAAAGACATAAGAGATAACAGGTCGTGTTCAGCATATTGTGTAAATTACGGGCGAAATTTCCTTTAATATTCCCTGGAAGTCTCCACTGCGCATGTACGAGTTCACGGCACTTGCGTGTGTGAATAAGTTTACGACTTCTCAGAGAAAACACACGCACATACAAGCACATACATACACACACACACAATACAAAATATTATTTGAAACCAATGTCTTTTTCGTTAAATGCACAGCGACTAATTCCCAGAGGATGTTTTCCAGGACAGAGTAAAATAAGTAATAGCTAGCCAATCAAATTCAAGTATGTCTCTTTGCTCGGATGTCTAGCCACTCCTTATTGCAGAAGCTTGATCAGGCACATTTGCTTTTGTTCAAGACTCATAGAGCCCACATGTGTTTTATACTGCAACTAAGAGGGAAATATCTTCAACTGCTAATGGCATTGTTTAGCAAAAGTTTTAGGGACATTTAATAATTCTAGCCATATTATTATCGTAGATACATGCAAAAAACATCTGTACATGGGTGTGTGCGTGTTTGTGCGCGAACGTTCGTGCATGTGAGATTGTATTCATTTTTTACCAAGTATAAGGGAATTTTTCAAATTGTAAAATACATGTGCGAGAGCAAACAAGCGTACTCCTGGGAAATTATTTTATAATAAAATAATCGTGCTGAGGAGAAAATAATTTTTTATAGAAATAAAAAGCATACCGTAAACATTGAACACTGTGCCGAGAGAATCATGTCAGCACGTTTATTTGGTACACAAGAGGATGAGATTATATTTAGTACGAGGGTTGCATGTGGCACAAGGCCGGGTTTAACGTGGGTTCTCCGAGCCCGTAGAACCCGAACGACACTCTGCCCTTCGACTGAGCCTCAGAGGCAGAGAGTTCGACCGTGTAGCCGAAAAAAAATGACGAGACAAATACAAAAATTTTCAGTGACATCTTTGAAAATGAGAATGTGAAGACCCGGCAAAAAAAAAATGTTTTAATTTAAAAACTGGTAAAATTCGCTCAGCACATCACTATTATTTTCGAGTAGGCATATATGGCAAGGAAATTCAAAGATATTCATATCTGTCAACGGATGTGTGTGTGGGGGGGTGTACGCATATATATATATATATATATATATATATATATATATATATATATATATAGATAGATAGATAGATAGATAGATATCAACGAAACTCTTGAGAGCCATCGATAACTGTGGTAGACAAAGCCACAAGTCATCGTGGCCGAGGGCTTGAGCGTACTGGCCTTCTTCAAATTGTTGATCACGCTAAAGAACAGGCTCTTTCCCTGAAACTATAATTAAGGTCTGCTCAGCATAGTTGCAGTATAAACCACAGATGGGCTCTGTGGGTGTTGAGCAAACACATAACGTGCCTGAGCGAGCGTCTGCAATTAGGATTGTCTAGTGATAGAAATTAGGAGTATTTGAGATAATTATAATTGCGTAATTCATCGAGTTTAGAAGAAAACTCGACAAAATGCAGAATGCACTGGATGGCCGTTTCGTCCTATATTTGGGGCTCATCAGCATATATATATATATATATATATATATATATATATATATATATATATATATATATATATATATATGTGTGTGTGTGTGTGTGTGTGTGTGTGTGTGTGATGAAATGGAATGAACGACTTTACTTA